GATCTGGTATTGACATGTGATGCCTCCTCATATGTCTTCAGGGTAGTATTAACTCATAACTATTTGCTCAAAAAGGCTGGACATGAGAGAGTTAATTTGTCAAACACAGGGGTGACAATAAAGAAACTGGGTGTATCTTTTGTAATACATGGACTCCCAGAAGTGTTGGTCACCGATAGTGGGCCATCACTTACCAGCAGGGAATTTGAGTATTTCCTAAAGTCGAATGCCATGTGACATATAAGGACAGCTCCATACCATCCATCATCCAATGATTTGGCTGAAAGAACAGTCCAAACTTTGAGGGCAGGCTTAAAGAAACAGTTTACAGCTCCACTAAATACTAAACTGTTCTGATTCCTATTCAATTATAGGACCATCCCTCATGCAAATACAGGGATAGCTCCAGTAGAGTTGCTAATGAGGAGAAGACTCCGCACCAGGTTAAGCCTGATCTTCCCAGACTTGGGCGGCAGTGGGGGTTGGCGTGAAATGGCATCAGGAACGCCAATGTGGACACAAGGCTCCGCTAAGCGAGAGAGACAGTTTACTTTGGGGGATGAAGTTTGGTGTAAGAGCCACAGGAATGGCCCTGCATGGGTAAGGGGCATGGTCGATGTAAGGTCAGTTCCTGTGACGTATAAAGTTTGAGTAGGTGCGACAGTGCTGAACAAGCACATGGATCATATGAAAGCTGCAAACTCTCAAACAGTGTGGAAGCAAGACATGCCCAGCTCCTCAACTCCCTTTCCGACTTTTCCAGAACCTGTGTGTTCTGCCTCTCTGTCAAGTGTTAGAGATAACTTGGAATCTGAGATGGACACAGCAGATGTCACTGCCTCAATGCCTTTGCCACCTGAAGAGGAGAATGATTTTCTTCCAAGACCTTCCAGGAGCTGTAAACTGTTTCTTTAAGCCTGCCTTTTCTTTAAGCTTAAGCCAGCATTACACACTGCCTGTATTAGAGGCAGAATTGGAGGAACCTGACCCTAAAACACTCCAGGAGGAGCTACAAAAAAAAACAGCCTACGTCCTCAGACTCGGAGGGGGAGAGATGTAGTGATTGTAAGGAGGTCAGGCAGAATGTGAGTTCCCTGATTGGAGCTGTTAATCTAATCCAATCAGGGAGCCCTGGCTGACAGATATAGGAGTGTCAAAGGTTCTGGCCATTGAGAGCTGGCACTGAGGTGTCAAGAACTCTCCACGTGTAAATAAAGGGTGCCTTGGTGACGGATACTGGCTTCTGTGAAGTTATTTCAACTACCACTATGCCACACAAGCCCTGGCTGCTTTTCTATTCTTACTACCAAAGTAGATGCTCCTGCTTGTAATTCAGATTCAGTTTCAAGCTGCACTCCAGACCATTGAGAACAAAATCTACACTGATTTTCCTGTGCCTGCACTAAGGGGATGCTGCTCTACCAGAGCTGCTGTCTCTGGATGAGATGTTTAAACCAAAGCCCCTTCTGCCCTCTCAGGTGGGCATAAAAGATAGCACGGTGCACTTTGGAGTCAGTGCGTTCTCCTCAGTCTCACAGCCAATACTTGCCTCTCAGCTACAAGGAAACAGGGAAAACATGTGAGACTGAAGGTGAGGCAGTTTCAAGAACCCCCCTTCCCCAGCATAGTCCTGGCAAATGTTCAGGCTATCGAAAACAAAATGGATGAACTCAGATCTAGACTCAGTTCCCTCTGGTAGGTAAGAGACTGTTGTGTGCTCTGCTTCATGGAGACTTGGCTGACCCCTGCCATTCTAGACTGCACCCTACAAGCTGACGGATTCTCCATACATTGCATGGACCACACGGCTCGGGCAAGGCGAAGGGTGGTGGGGTATGCTGTCTGATCAACACTTCCTGGTGCTCAGACATAGCAAACCTGGCAAGCCATTGCTCCCCTTACCTTACAGTAAAAAGCCATCCCTACTACCTACTGCAAGAGTTCACCTCTGCCATCCTGACAGTATACCACCCCATGCAGATGTGAAGAATGCCCTAGACGTGATTTATATCACCACAAACACTCTTAGAGACCATTATTCCCCAAAGCCCGATTCATTGTGGCCGGTGACTTCAACCAAGCCAACCTCAAAAGGGCGCTGCCAAAGTACCACCAACACATCTCCTGCACCACCAGGGGAGCCAACCATTCTGGATCACTGCTACACAACCATCAAAGACACCTACATTCCCCACCCATACTTCGCAAAATCCGATCAGAGCGCTGTGTTCCTCTTCCCAGCTTACAAGCAGAAGCTGAAACGGGGTGACCCTTCACAAAAGGAAGCACAATGCTGGTCCAAGGCAGCAGTATACCTTAATGACTACTGCCCAGTGGCTCTGACCTCAATAATCATGAAGTGCTTCGAAAGGCTGGTCACAGCCCACATCAACTCCAATCTCCCAGCCTGTCTCAATCCCTTGAAATTTGCCTACCGACATAACAGGTCCACAGTGGGTGCCATATCCCTAGCCCTGCATTCATCTCTGCAACATCCGGAAAATAGGGATGCCTACATCAGACTCCTGCTCATTGACTACAGCTCCATCTTCAACACCATTATCCCCTCCAGACTGATCTCAAAACTGTGTGACCTTGGTCTTGTATCCACCCTCAGCTTTCTGACCCATAGGCCGCAATCAGTGAGGATAGGTAACTGCACCTCCTCCACAATAGCACTCAACCCTGGAGGCCCCAGGGATGCATCCTCAGCCCCCTAACGTACTCCCTGTACACCCACGGCTGTGTTGCCAAATTCTGAACAAAAGCCATCTACAAGTTCACTGATGACACCACCGTAGTGGGACAGATATGTAACAACGACGAGTCAAACGACAGAAGGGAGATAGAGGGCTTGGTGACGTGGTGCAACGAAAACAATCTGTCACTCAACGTCAGCAAAACTAAAGAACTGATCATCAACTTCAGAAAGAAAGGAGGAGAACACGCCCCCATCTATATCAAAGGAACTGAGGCTGAGAGGGTGGACAGCGTCAGGTCGCTCGGAGTGATGATAACCGACAGCCTGTCCTAGACTTTCCACATTGACGCGACAATCAAGAAGGCACAACGTCTCTTCTTCCTCAAGCAGCTCAGGAAATTTGCCATGTCCATAAGGACCCTCACCAATTTCTACAGATGCATTGAAAGCATACTGTCCAGGTGTGTAACGGCTTGGTACGGCAACTGCTCTGCTCAGGACTGTAAGAAATTACAGAAGGTTGTGCACACAGCCTAGACCATCACAGAAGCTAACCTTCCATCCATGGACTCCATTTACATGGCTCGCTGCCGCGGAAAGGCTGCCAACATCATCAAAGACCCATCGCACCCCGGTAATGCTCTCCTGCAACTTCTTCCATCAGGCAGAAGATACAGAAGCCTGAACACATGCACAAGCAGGTTCAGGAGGAGCTTCTTCCTGGCTGTTATCAGACTAATGAATGGACTCTCTAGCCTCAAATAATGCTGATCTTGCTAACATTGATCCCAGCTAATGCACACCATGTGCAATGTAACCTGTATGCCTCTGTCTAAGTTTTTTTTTTGATCTGTACGTCCTTGCTTACTATGATCTACCTACACTGCTCATAAACAAAGCTTTTCACTGTACTTTGGTACACAAGACAATAAATCAATCAATCTTAGCCAGCATCACAAAAACAGATTATCTGGTCTTTATTGCAGTGCTGTTTCTGGGATCTTATTGTGCACAAATGGAATGCACCATTTCATAATTACAACTGCGCCAGCAAAAACTACTTACTTAGCTGCAAAGGGCTTTGATACATCGTGAGGCCGTAATAAGAAAAAACCTATGACTGCAAATCTTTCTTTTTAACAGTGCACAAAGTTCAATTTTGACCAAAGCACTTCACCCGTAGGTCAACTTAACTGTGACTATGTGATAGCACCTCATGAATGTCCCAATGTGCTTCAGATATAAGGTCTCCAGCAAATGTGGATGCGATTTGTAGAGGATGGGACAACCTGCAACAGTAATCATAAATACACCATCGCTGACCTTCTGTAGCTCCATTCCATAAAAGGGATTTCTGAGCCACACTCCAGGCAGTTTCATTATGAATGGCTCTCGGGAATCTTAAAAAAACCCTGATTTGCTGGAGAAAAGCAGATAATGTTCATCTGAAACAACAGATAGCTATGGTCAGTGCCAAAATAGTAGGATAAAGTTACATGGCCCATTTCAACACTGTTAGCATCGTTTCAACACCAGTTGAATATTCACTCTGGAATCTCAATGCAGCCCAACCCACAATCTACCCAGGGCTTCAGGTGTTATTTCCCTTTAGACTTCTGTCAGCTCCAACATGATTTATCTAGGCCTTGAAAGAGGACAGTCAGCCTTTCAACTCATTCTGTCAACTCAGTGAGATAATGCCTTATCTTTATTGCAACTTCATCTTGGTTCCATGACCCTTAACACTCTTGCGTACCAAAATGTGATAAATGGATCTCAGGCCAGATGGAACCGTATGAAACCAGACTCAAATCCTTGTCTTGACCATTCTTTTATTTACAGAATACATTACGAATTGCATACTAAATAAAAACCAGAAGAACTATGGGTGCTGTGAATCAGAAACAAAAATAGAAATTATCGGAGAAGGTCAGCAGGTCTGGCAGCATCTGTGGAAAGAAATCAGAGTTAACATTTCAGGTCAAGCGACCCTTTCTGCCTTTGACCAGCCAACCTAGTGTTGCAGCAGTTTCTCCTCTCTAGGCCCTTAATTAAATAATGCTCCCCTCCTGTGTATTTTAACAATACAGCTAGACCCGAAACGTCAGCCTTCCTGCTCCTCTGATGCTGCTTGGCCTGCTGTGTTCATCCAGCTCTACACCTTGTTATCTCAGATTCTCCAGCATTGGCAGTTCCTACTATCTCATTAAAAATGTGTTTGTTGTCTTGCAATAAAATGACCATGAACATGCATACTGACACTCACTAACTCTCTGTCCCTTTCTGGCCTGCCTCCTAGTTCGAACTGGTTGAAGCCTTGCTGTGGGAGGCGGACAGCTGTCTGGCAAGTGGTCCTACTCAGTGCTGGTCTCAACTGCTTCCTGGTAGCGTCCGTGGTCCTGGTTGTCCTCCTCCTAACGCTGGAGCTCCTCATCGACACCAAGTTACTTCAGTGTGAGTACAGTATGACCTTACCCACTCAACCTTCTCTTCTCCAGTGGAAAAGCTGCGGCCTGTTCAGTCATTTCTTGATAGTCATCATCCCTTTTCTCTCTTGTTGAAGTTACCAGTGCATTCCAGTTTGCGGGGATCATTCACTGGATAAGTCTTGTCATCCTCTCTGTCTTCTTCACGGAGGTAAACCCTTGAGTTGCTATTTGTTAAAGAGTGTTTCAAGTTGCTAATGACTGTGTGCAATGTTATTTACTATATCTCCTGTGGCACTGCTCATATTAGGATAGCAGATGCACTAGTTATGTATGTCATTCATATGCCAGTTGAACATACTGGTCATCACATGACTGGGAAGGGACCGAAGGGACAGTTGCGAAATTGGCTGATGATAGAATGATAGGAAAATAGGTTGTGAGGAGGATATAAGAAGACTATAAAGGGATGTAAATAAGTTAGGGGAGTGGGCACTGCTCACTTGCCATTAAACCACCACATTCCACACTCCCACTATGGTGTATAAAAAAATCCAACTTTACCAATACCCATTTATGCTTACTTTCTACTCCTTGTGAGCTAGCCAACCTCTAAATCCATGCCAATATGTTAGCCCCCTACACCATGAGCTTTAATTTTCTGTAACAATCTTTGATGTGGCTCCTTACCAAATGCCATCTGGAAATCTAACAACAATGTATCCACCAGATCCCCTTTATCCACAGCACATGTTACAACCTCAAAGAACTGCAATAAATTGGCTGAAATATGATGTCTTTTACAAAGTCCATGTTGACTTTTCCTGATTACCTTGAACTTTTCTTAGTGTCCATCCATAACAGTGGTGGCATGGTAGCTCAGTGGTTACCTCATCTGCCTCACAACACCAGGGACCTGGGTTTGATTCCACCCATGGATGACTGGCTGTGTGGAGCTTGCGCAGTCTCACTGTGTCAATGTGAGTTTCCTCTTGGTGCTCTAGTATTTTCCCACTGTCCAAAGATGTGCAGGTCAGGTGGATTGGCCATGGGAAATGTGGGATGGGTCTGGGTGGGATGCTTTGTGGAGGATCAGTGTGGACTTAATGGGTTGAATGATCTGCTTCCACACTGTAGGGATTCTATGATAACGTCTCCATCACGCTCCCTATAACAGATGTTGAACAAATTGGCCTCTTATTTCATGCTTTTAACCTCCCTTTTTGAAGTTCTTGAACTCAACCTAAAAGAGTCCAACAAACATGGAGCAAGCAAAGAAAACCTAGAAAAATGAACAATTACCCTCCCCAAATCCAGCTATGCAAGGACATGTAGGGTCAACAAAGGAGCCTCATTAACTTTCTTCCCTTTTTGAAGGAATATGCTTCATAGAAACGTTCGAGCAGGAGTAGGACATATAGCCCACTGAGCCTGCTCCAATATTCAGTTAGCTAATGGCTGATCACCTAACAACATCATTGTCCTGCACTATCTCCACATCCCTTAATGTTACAAGATTCCAGAAATCTATCAATCTCTGACTTGAACAGAGTATACGACTAAACTTTTACAGCCTCTGGAATAGAGAATTCCAAAGACTCACCACCCTCTAAGTGAAGAAATTCCTCTGCACTCCATCCTAAATGACCTGTAGTCACGAGAGTTTGGAAGGATGAGAGAGGATCAGATTGAAATATTTCAAATTGTAACAGAGCTGGACAAACTAGATGCAGGGAAGCTATTTCCCATGCTCGGACAGTCTAGAACCAGAGTTTGCAGTCTTAGGATACTGAAAAGACTATTTAGGACCGGGGTGAGGAAACATTTCATCAGTCAGAGGCTGGTCAACCTATGGAATTCGCGACCGCAGAAGTCTGAGTCACTAAGTATATTAAAAGAGAGGTTGATAAATTGTTAGGTATTAAAGGCATCAAGAGATTTGGAGACGAACTGGGAATATAGCATTGAGGTAGATGATCAGCCCAGATCAAATTGAATGGCAGTGAAGCCTTGAAGGTTCGAGTGGCCTACTCCTGCTCCTAATTCCTATGTTTATTGATAGCCTGTCCACTCTTCGTAAGCCCAGATAAGGGGTCTCTATGGAAAATATTTAGGCTCAGTTCTAGTTCCATTGAAGCCAGTTTACCCCCTTTGTAAGTGGCTCCTGATTGAACAAATTTAGGGGGTAATTTCGCAATCTCATTCACACTGCTGGTTGAGAATGGTAATGTCGCACTAAGGCCAATGGACAATAACAGACTGAGCTGTATACCACAGCCATCTCTCCCCACACCTGACCAGGAAACACTTTGGGGTTAAGATCGTTGATCTGCATTGTAGAACATCTGACGTTTAATGACCTTGTCATGGTGTAGAATATTCAACTTCTTGTCAACATGAAGAAATTTCCTTTCCTTCTCTGAACATAACTCGGAAAAGTCAGAAAGTTTATATCTGGGAACTGTTCAATACTGGAAAGCTCCAACTTGTAAACAGACAGCGCACTTATGCTGTGTATGTCTCAATGCATTGGAAAGGCTAAGTCTCTGCTGTGTTCTCTCTCTATCAGACTGTCTTCAGGATTGTGGTACTTGGCATTTGGGACTATATTGAGAACAAAGTGGAGGTGAGCTGTGCATTTACCTCAGTGCGCGTTGTTGCATGTGTAGCCATGTCCAAAGCCTAGAACATCAGAGCTAGATTGAATACATTATTCTTAGTTGAAATTCTTGCCCCTCAACCTGCCCAGAAACCAATGTTGACAAGTTTGCATTGCCTGATCTGTGATGAGGGAAAACAATTCATGTGTGGGCAAAGAGGGGGGTTTTCTGTATTCTCCTTGCACAACAGTTTCAAGTGCACGGACAGAAACAATTTTGTATTGTCAACATTCCACTACAAGTGCCATCAGTGGCACTAAAAAAATGGAGTAAGATAGGCCATTCAGCCTATCTGATCCATACTGCCACTCAAGTAAATTATGGTTCACGTCTACCTCACCTTGTTTTTGCTCCATATCCTATTTAAAAATGACCACATGTTTGTTTGCTTCAACTGGAAGATGAGAAAGTCAAGCAGCTTTTGCTTTCAAGGGGATTCTTGACTGGGGCAGGGATGGCAGAGTAAATCAGGTAAACATCATAACAAGTAACTCAAGGTTCATCTGCTCACCTGGACCAGTTACAAGTGCTAAGGAAATTGGAGAGGATTTAACCTAGAGGGTTTTATTCCCCTTTTTGGCCTGGGTTATTTTTAAACCCCCTCCTGGAAAATGACATGGATGGGTGTAAGAAGTGGGGGTGGGTCATAAGCATAGTCTATTATCATGGTGTATGGGGCAGGCTGAAGGAGACAATGTGATCTTTCCCTGTCCATCAATTTTGCGCATATGTACCTTTCATCACTAGGTACAATTACTATGTATCTGGGATTTGACCACTGACCTCAGACTGAGGAAGATCCCAGTCAGAGCTGTAAAGCTAGAGGTGGGACTTTGTGCAGATGGGAGTGTTGTATTTATGTGTGTGTACCACTCCAAACCTTCACTCACCCAGCAGGAATGGAAAAGTCTAGGAGCCAACCCAATCCTGGAATTGATTCCATTGGAAAAGCAATAAGAATATACCTCTCCATTGGGTCGAGCAGCCAATCATGTTTCCATGGAGACGTATGCTGCTGAGTTCTTGCAGGGGAGAACACCATGGATACAGGCAGGAGGAAGGAATAATGATGGAGATGAAGGAACATTTGCCTCTAACACATGCAGACATGACATATGCACAGAAAAACACACGCACAGACTCACACATACACACAAGAAAGCACACACACAAACATACACACAGGCACAGATGTATTCACGGAAAAATACACATTCACATAAAATACATGCATGGATTCACACACACATACACTCAGAAAAACACACACAATCAGAAACACGAACAAAATGCATGCATAAAAGCACATACAAAGAATCACATATACTCAGACAAACAGACATATATAGGCAGAGATGTACACAGAAAAACACACGTATAGGATCACTTGTACACACAGGAAAATAGAAAACACACACACACACACACGCACACAGAAGCACAAGCACAGACACAGGTATAGACTTGTTTCTCGTTCATGTTTGAGTCAATCCAAATTCAGAAAGAAAATTATATGATAACCCAGTGTGTTGCCTGTTATCAAAATAAGTCAGTAAGAAACCATTAATAGAAAGTGGGCTATGCTAAGCAGCCCTGCTGCAATCATAAATTGGCAGCGTGCTCATTAACAATGCGTCCAGAGTTACAATTCGTAGTTAAATGAGACTCGCTTGTTGACCCCAGCTTGAAGTGGTGCATGGGGATAATTATACACCACAGGACACTAAACCGAGTGGCTGTTTCCTTGTTCATCCCTCTCTGCATAAACATGTCTCACTGTAAACACAAAAGCTTTATCTTAATGATGAAAGGAAAGGCTGAAAAGACTATCGATCTGAGTTCAAAACAAGAAAATGCTGGAATTTTGAAAAATTTGATCCTGGGATATAGGTGCCGCCATCTGGGTCAGCATTTATTGGCCGTCCCTACCTACCCTTTAGAAAGTGGTGGTGAGCTGCCTTCTTGAACCCCTGCAGTCCATTTCCTGTAGGTAGACCCACAATGCTGTTAGGGAGGGAATTCCAGGATTTTAATCCAGAGACAGTGAAGGAACAGCAAAACATTTCTAAGTCAGGATGGTGTGTGTCTCGGCAGGGGGCGGAATTTGCAGGGGGTGGTGTTCCCATGTACGTGCTGCCCTTGTCTTTAACACAAAAGTGGATTGCACTTCAGTTGGGTTTCCTTCCTCTCCCAGCTTGCTTTGTGGGTGCAGGCCAAGTGGAGGAAGATGAGCAAAGTGTGGGTGTGTGTCCAGCTCAGCCTTACTCACACATCTAACAGTCCTCACATGACCACAGCCGCCCACTTACCCATTTACCCATTCACTCATTTGTGGGGAGGTGATGGCGTAGTGTTATCATTGCTGGACTGTTGACCCAAATAATTAATGTTCTGTGAACCTGGGTTCGAATCCCACCATGCAGATGGAAGTTGAATTCACTAAAAAAAAAATTAATGTTTAATGATAACCATGATTCCATTGCCAATTGTTGGGGAAAACCCACCTGGTTGACTAATGTCCTTTAGAGAAGGAAACTGCCATCCTTACTTGGTCTGGCCCACATGTAACTCCAGACCCACAGCAATGTGGTTGACTCTTAAATGCCCTCTGGTCAATTAGAGATGGGCTTGTAAGTGCCATTTCAGGGGGCAATTAAGATTGCTGTGGGTCTAGATTCACATGAGGGCCAGACCAGGTAACGACAGCAGACTTCCTTCTCTGAAGGACATTGGTGAACTAGATGGACTTTTACAACAATTCATGGCCATCATTACTGAGACCAGCTTTCAAATCCAGGTTTATAATTTGAACCTGAATTCCACCAGCTGCTGTGAACTCATGCCCTCAGAACATTAAAATAAAGGCAAATTACTGCAGATTCTGGAAATCTGAAACAAATGCATCCAATGCTGGAGAAACTCAGCAGGTCTGGCAGCACCTGTGAAGAGAGAAGCAGAGTTAACATTTTGAGTCCGATGGGACTTTTTTTTTCACAACTGTTCTGAAGAGGGGTTCATACCAGACTCAAAATGTTAACCCTGCTTCTCTCTTCACAGATGCTGCCAGACCCGCTGAGTTTCTCTAGCATTATCTTTGTTTGTCCCCAGAACATTAGTTTGAGCCTCTGGAAAGTGACAAATGCCATAATTAGATACTATATTAATGCTGTATTTAAATGCTGCACATTTAGACTCTAGAGACATAGATGGGGTCATAGCTAAGTTTCTAAATCACAAGTGGTTTGGACAGAGTAGACAGGGAGAAACTGTTCATGAAAGGACAGAGAATGAAAGGGCAAAAATTATTTAAATTGGCAAAAGAAATAAAAAAGATGTGAGAAAAGTCTAGTTCTCGCAGTGAATACACTTCCTGAGAGTGTTGTGGAAGCAGTTTCAACTGAAGCAATCAAAAGGAAATTAGACTGTCATCTGAAAGGCTCCATAAATGGGCAACCACACCACTAGTGGTGTGTTACAGTCATGGGCAGTAGTTCGGTTAGCACAGCTCACATTGTAAGGTGTGGGTCAAGTCTGCAACAGAGCTGTCCCTAGTGGGCCTGGGGACACTGTGCGGTACTTCACCTCTGCCCTGGGGAATATTGCACAAATCACTTAGGGTTGAGGCCCAAACAATGGATATTTCCAAGAAGGAGGTAGAAATAGTCGTTAGGGTTACAGGGATCAACAGGTATGGGTAGAAATAGGGAGTTGGATGATCAGCTGTGATCATATCAAATGGCAGCAGGCCCAACTCCTCTCTATGTTTTCACGTTTCTGTGTATCTTTAACCTCTGTGAACTAATTATGTAACTTGTTATGGACCAGACCATTATATCCCCAAAAATTATAGTAAACAGATAGCCTAGACTCTAATTTTTATATTTATTTAAAGGCAAGAGTAAGGCACTACATTCCGGATCTAATTTGATTGGTCAGTCACTAGGTTTAAGTAATACTCACTTTATTCTTACAACGCAGTTAAAATAAAACAAAAAGAAGAATGACATAACTTTAACTCTATTGAAATTTTTAACAAGATAATATATGATTTAACTATTAAATATCAACTATTCTTTGATCCGATGGGCCAAGGAGTGGCAGATGGAGTTTAATTTAGATAAATGTAAGGTGTTGCATCTTGGTAAGGCATAATGGTAAGGTTCTGGGCAGCCAAACAAAGAGACCTTGGGCTGCAGATGCATAGTTCCTTGAAAGTGGAGTCACAGGTAGACAGGATAATGAAGAAGGCATTTGGTACGCTTGCCTTTATTGGTCAGTGCATTGAATGTAGGATGTTATGTTGCGGCTGTACAGGACATTGGTTAGGCCACTTTTGGAATACTGTGTTCATTTCTAGTATCCCTGCTATAGGAAAGACATTGTTAAACTTGAAACAGTGCAGAAAAGATTTACAAGAATGTTGCTAGGGTTGGAGGGTTTGAGCTATAGGGAGAGGCTGAATATGCTGGGGCTATTTTCCCTGGAGCATTGGAGACTGAGGGGTGACCTTATAGAGGTTTATAAAATCATGAGGGGCATGGATAGGGTGAATAGCCAAGGTCTTTTTCCCAGGGTAGGGGAGTCCATAACTAGGAGGCATGGGTTTAAGGTGAGAGGGGAAAGATTTAAAAGGGACCTAAGGAGCAACCATTTCACGCAGAGTGTGGTGCATGTATGGAATGAACTGCAAGAGAAAGTGGTGGAGGCTGGCACAATTACAACATTTAAAAGGCATCTGGATGGGTATATGAATAGGAAGGGTTTGGAGGGATAAGTGCCAAATGCTGGTAAATGGACTAGATTAATCTAGGATATCTGGTCGGTATGGACGAGTTGGATCAAAGGGTCTATTTCCGTGCTGTACAGCTCTATGACTCTATGTTCCAATGTAGGCAGCATGCCATAAACACACCCTTGGCAAGGCAATTTAGCAAAATAGTTCTATCCTCACGTGCTGTCCTTCTCCAGTCCAGCTGAAAGAAATACTGAAAAAAAGTCTGCCTCTTTAAAGAGGAAAAAAATTTATGAGCATCAGAGCAAGAGAGACCTGTGCTGTTTAACTCCAGCAGCCAGCTAATGCAAAATCAAGCTGAAAGCAAATCCCAAAGCCCCTTGTTCTGGGTAAACCTGACTGCCCACTCATGCGTCTTTTGTCTAATTTAAAAAAACATCCAAGGACAACTGAGAAGCTGTTTACCAACTCCCTGTCTAAAGGAGACATTTCAGCACCACTGTGACGACACCACTCTGCAAGAGAAACAGGACAGAACACACCTCTCTTAAAGGAACAGTACCATCACAAAGTGTGCAGGAGCCTCACATCACAGTGCAACTGAATGTGTGCAGGTAGATTGCACTGACCATTTTTGCCTTGGGAACACCCACTCTCTATATCTGAAAAGGAAGAATGTGAAGTGTTATAGGGTGAAGGCCGGGCAATGGCAGCGGCTCATTTGAAATGTCAGCGTAGACACGATAGGCGGAATGGTCTTGTTTAGCATTCTAGCAATTCTCTGATGCTGTAATGTCTGATTCCCTGTGGGAATTTTTCAGGTGTTTGATGGTGCAGTCATCGTCCTGTCATTGGCTCCTATGGTGGCCTCAACTGTAGCAAATGGACCCAGCAGCCCATGGGATGCCATCAGCCTGATCATCACTCTTCGCATTTGGAAGGTCAAACGTATCATTGACGGTGAGTGGTTGGCATTTAATGGTAACATTATTGGTCAATTGGATTTTGTTGACGATTTACTTTTTCCCTGTTACCAGACGGGAAAAGTCTCTGCTAAATCACATTGAAATATACCTTATAATTTATATAAACACTTCACAATCACAGGATGGTTGTCTATGTCATAGAATGAGGAATTTCCAGAGAATTTAAAAAAAGTGTTTTTCTCACTCATCTTCTAACCATTTATCTAGATGCACGATGCATGCAATAATGGACTATTGACTAATCACAATCTCAGTGTCTATTCATTGGCCTGCAATAGATCCAAGCATGGAGTGCAGTAAATGCCCATGGAACTGTAATCCCAAATATAACTGTATTGCCCCAGCTGCTTTTTATTCCCAATACATTTGTTATCAGGATATGAACCTTGATGGCAAGACCAATTTTGCGATAATTTCTCACCAACATGTTCAGAGGTGTTATTACACACCTCTGGAGCAGGTGGGACGTGAATCTGGGCCTCCCAGCTCAGAGGTAGGGACACTACCACTGCACCACAAGAGGTCTCCAAGGCCAACACTTATTGTATCTGTAATTGCCTTTTCTGTGGTTCATTAGGCCATTTTAGAGGACAATTTAGAACTCAACCACATTTTTGTGGGTATGTGGTCTCATGTTGGCCAGACCAGGAAAGGATGGCAGATTTCCTTCCATCAAGGACCAGATCGGTTTTGCAGCAATCTGGTAGTTTTGTGGATGTCACGAATAGGAGCAGTAGTTTAGCCTAGATTTATTAATTCATTTAATTTAAATAACACCAAATGCCATGGTGGGATTTGACCTCAGACTCATAAACATTGGTCTGGATCTCTGGATTACTAGTAATCATTGACATCGCCACTGTATACAAACTTTAGATTGCTATTGCTCAGAGACAATTTATGGAAAATCTGGAGCCACATCTTCATGCAAAGGAAATTTCAAATGCCAAAGGTGCTGTTGAGGATGCTCTCGTGATGCTGGTTCAAATCCCAGCAGGGCAGCTAGTGGAATTTTAAATCAATTAATAAAATCTGCAATTGAAATTTAGTCTCAGTGGCCATGAAGCTATTTACCATTATAAAACACACCTGGTTCACTAATGTCTTTAGGAAAGGAAATCTGCCTTCATTGTCTGGTCTGGCCTTCATGTGACTCCAGACCCACAGCAGTATAGTTGACTCTTAACTGCCCTCTGACCTAGTAACCCACTCAGTTCATGGGTAATTAGGAAGGGGCAACAAATGTTGGTAACTTTAGTGACGCCCAGATCCCATGAAAGGATAAAGAAGTGATCTCTTCCTGCACTGTAGGGATTCTATGGTTCTGTAATTCTCTGAAATACTACATCTGGGAGCCAATTAAAAATATCAAAGCTGAAATTGATCAATTTTTGCTGAGAAATGGTTTTGAGACTTGCAGAAAAAAGGTAGGCGGATGGATTAGGAAAGAACTCATTGGATAGCAGAGCAGGCTGAACAGCCTCCTCCCATTCCTGTGAACTGTGAAGTGAGGACAGGCTCATGTAAAACAATGATGTCCCTATGCTGGAATAATCTGACATAATGGGGCTGGAATTTACGGACGCATTTAGGACTGGCCATGGTCCCCCACACACCTCACACACACAGATACACACACACACACACACACAATGTGACAACATGACACACATACACAGTGTGACAATATGAAATATGATGTGATTTCTTGGTTTGGCAAAATAATGTCATCACACCAGTCTCCCAAATTACAAAAGGCAAGTGGCTCTGGAATCAGAATGCCATGCGCCATATAGGCGACAGCCTGGTGATATTATCACTGCCCTGTTAATCTAGAGACCCAGGTAATTTTCTGAGGACAGAGGTTCGAATCCTGCCATGGTAGATGGTGCAATTTGAATCCAATAAAAATCTGGAATCAAGAGTCTAATGATGACCATTTTCAATTGTTGGGAAAAACCCATCTAGTTCATTAATATCCTTCAGGGAAGGTAACTACCATCCTTACCTGCTCTGGCCTACATGTGACTCCAGACTCACAGCAATGGCCCTCTGGGAATCCCCACACAGAGATGGGTAGTAACTGCTGCCCTAGTCAGTGATACCCACATCCTGTGAATGAATAAAAAAGATTAAAATTGCCAACTATCAAGGTTGTTACTAATATGTTGCCCACTGCATTCTTCAAGCAGCGGACATGAAGAAGTTTGAAAGCATAACAATGGGACAGAAGAAACAGCCTTCTCCCTTGGGACAATAATTGGATTCTTTTCATTGTTCTCTTATGGAATGTGGGTGTCATTGGCTGACTTCTGTTTCCCATCCCAAAAATTCCCTTGAATGGTTTGAAATAGCTCCAGCAAGCCAGAGGATGGTTAAGAATCAATTACATTGCTGTAGGTCTGGAATCACATATACGTCAGACCATGTAAAGATGGCAGATTTCTTTCCTTGAAGGACATCAATGAACCACATGGGATTTTACAGAAATCAACACTAGTTTCATAGTCACCATCACTGGGACTAACTTTCATTTCCAGATTTCAATAGGTGAATTGAAATTCCACAAGCTGCTGCAGTGAGATTTGATCCCATGCACCCCAGAACATCAGCTTGCTCTCTAGAATACTACTCCAATAGCATTATCACTATACTATTGTCTGTCTGACCCTGTTGGCTTGAGTGTATCAGTGCAGCCGTGGAATTGATTAGAGTCAACATTTTCATAAGAAAAGAGCAAATTAACAAACAGAAAAATCCTTTCCTTTGGCTGTATGCAGCTAACGTGAACCTGGCTACAGTCAGTAATACATCTGTCTGCTGAAATGCTAATATTAGCTAAATTTTGAAAATAGTCTGTGACTGTTGCATTCCGCAAGCTAAGAACTAGATCCAAAGTTAAACAAATGAAGAAAGTGCAGTCACAACAAAATATATTGGGCAGATGTGGCTTTTATGCAGTTTCAATTAAGTGACAGATTTTCAATGGAAAATTACAAGCTGTGTGTTTTTGGACTGGGAAAATCAATTCAACAGCAATATCTGTACAGTTTTTCACTTTACACTCAGTAATAGTTGCTGTTACTTGATAAATGGATGGATGGGGATCTTGCTTTTCATGAGTAAGGGATACTGACTGTTGCAGTTATGTGATCCTACAGCACTAGCACCTCACCCAGGAGCCTACTATCGAAATGTGAGCCTTCATAGTTGAGCGATGCCAGGCTGTTTGGCTGAAAAAAGCATCACCAGCAAGGCCAAAACCTGTCGTCCTCCTCCAATACCCACACTCTTGAGTTTGATGGGGGGGTGGTTACAACAACAGCTTACATTTATGTAGCAATTCCAACAAAATATGACACCAAACCACCAAGGGTCAGTGGGCAAAATGTTTGTCAAAGAGGTGAGTTTTAAGAATTGTCTTAGAGACAGAAGTGAGGCAGTGAACTAAAGAGGTGTAGGTAGGGAATTATGGGGCTTAGAGTCTTGGAAACTGAAGATATGACCATGGGGAGATTAATATCAGTAATTCTCAAGAGGTCAGAATAAGGAGAATGTAAGTATCTTGGAAAGTGCAGGGCAAGAGGATATTAGAGTGAAAATATTAAAAACAAGGATAAGAATTTTAAAATCAGAACTTTGTTTGACCAGGAGTCATTATAAGTCAGTGAGGACATGGCAGTTAGGAAAATGGGTCTTGTTACCTGTTATATGACAGCAGAGTGTTGGATAACCTCAGGATTACAAAGGGTAGAACTCAGACCAGTCAGGACTGTATTGGAATAATCGAGGCGTAATGGAGTTTTGAATGACAGTTTTAGTAGCAGATGAGCTGTGACAGTGGTAACAATTTTACAGAGGTGCTAATAGCAGGTCTTAGTGATGGCACAAACATGAGATCAGAAACTCATCTCAGAATTAAATGTGGCACCAAGATTGCAAACAGGCTAAATTAATCTCAAACTGTTGCCTGGGAGTGGGATGGTATTGGTAGCTAGGGGATAGAGTTAGGAGCAGGAACCAAAAATAATGGCTTCAGCTTCTTAATTGGATGGAACTGCAGACCCATGACTATTGTCTACCTTTTTTGCCTTTTGTCACCCAGTGGAACTGGGACAACTCTGCATAACAATTAGCATCCCACACAGCTAGCCAGAGATCAAACCTTCTGCAGACAGTAAGGACCCAATGGGTAGCACCACTGTCTGAGCAAGAAGGTTGTAGACTCAGGTCCCACTCCAGGTGCAAAATTCAGGCCAACATTCCCAAAGCAGTGCTGAGGGAGGACTGTTCAGAGATAGTAGGAACTGCCGATGCTGGTGAATCTGAGATAACAAGGTGTAGAGCTGGATGAACATAGCAGGCCAAGCAGCATCAGAGGAGCAGGAAAGCTGATGTTTCAGGTCTGGACCCTTCTTCAGAAAATCAAGACGCCCTTTAAAAGTCACTATAGTATCTGCTTCCACTACCTCCCCCAGCAGCGAGTTCTAGGCACCCACCATCATCTGAGTAAAAAACATATCTCGTACATCACCTTTAAACCTTGCCCCTTGCACCTTAAACCTATGGCCCCCTAGTAACTGACTCTTCCACCCTGGGAAAAAGTTTCTGACTGTTCATTCTGTCCATGCCCTTCATAATCTTGTAGACCTCTATCAGGTCGTCCCTCAACCTTTGTCGTTCCATTGAGAACAACCCAAGTTTCTCCAACCTCTCTCGTAGCTAATGCCCTCCATACCAGGCAACATCCTGGTAAATCTTTTCTGTACCCTCTCCAATGCCACCACATCCTTCTGGCAGTGTGGCAACCAGAATTGAACACAATATTCCAAATGCTGCCTAACAAAGGCTCTATAAAGCTGCAACAATACCTGCCAATTTTTAAACTGAATGCCCCACCAATGAAGGCAAGCATGCCATATGCCTTGTTGATTACCTTCTCCACCTGTGTTGCCACTTTCAGTGACCTGTGTA